CATTGCATTTGGACAATTTTTAAGAATCTTTTGTTTTCAACTTTCACTTTCACCATCGTAGTAGTTAAGAAATTGAGTGCAACATTCATAAAAACTTTTTGAATCAACTAGGAAAATGCTTTAGGTTTTGACATTGCGAACATTATTGGAAACTTGAGGGAATTATTAGACATCTTTCGATTTCGCCACCGTTAGAATTTTTTGAATGTTGTCATTAAATTTATTCTATAGAAAAAAGTTCAAATATATTTAATGAAAGTATGATGTGACATTAAAATACGAGTGTATAATCAGAAATAGATTTATTCTTAATCGTCTAACGATTTGATAAATCTGTCTGCATGAAGTTCTTAATGAATAATTTTGGTCAGTGTGAAATATGTTCACGTGAAATAACAAAGGACCAATTCGATTCATGTACTTGCCCGTTTGACCTAAATTTTTTTTGTCTTTTACCCGACAATTACTTTGAATGAATAAAGTAAAATAAAATATTGGAGAAAGATTGAGGGTGGAGGAGATTGAGGAAGAGAAAAAACTAGCTAAGCAATATGAAATACTAAAAGGGAGATAAGAGGAGATGAGTTGAAATTGATAAGAAAACGGAGAGAGGGTAGGAATGTTCACTTTTCCCCTAAACGGGGCGGGGAGGAGGGAAGTTTTTCCCTCGTCCCCGTCTCACTTTATATATATATATATTCTCCATTTATATACATATTATTCTCTATATATTAGGGGTGAGCATAGGAAACCAAAAAATCGATCCTGATTAGTTAAATTTAGTATATAAAAAAAAACAAGAGCAGACTACATTAAATGCAGTTGCTGTGGTGCTGCTTTGGAAACCAGAGGCCATTAAATGGCCGTTGGTTTTGAGGCACCTCTTTCTTTTATTTTTTTTCTTCCACTCCCATCTCTTCCATTCTTTTCTTTTCTTCTTCCCATTTCTCATCGCGCATCCCACCTTCACTATCAACTCCTCCTCCGTTTCGTAGTCCACGATTTTCGTCCTTTCGTTTTTTCAGAGATGGTTAAAGAAATCGTCGGTTTCTAGATTTGGAAACCAATTAGGTCGGTTTTCTGCATTGGGTTGGTCAAAAACCGACTCCGACCGACCGAAGCTCACCCTTACTATACATACATATACTAAAATAATTATACTCTTCTCTTCCCGCCAAATATATAATATATAATATAGAAGATTGGACCGTGTAAACAAAAATTTGTCTTTGAGAATTAAGCAATTAATTAAAATTTCCTTAGAAAAAAATATTCAATTGGGAAAGAATTTTAAAAATAAAGAATAAACGAGAAAAAAATCCATGAGGGGAATGCGGTCCCGGTGAATTCTCCACAGATTTCCCTATTCCGATCCTTGCAAAAATTTCATGAAAAATTTTACCGAGATGGAGAATGAAATGGGGGGGCGGGGATGGAGATGGGAAGCTTTTCCTGCGCCCACCTCGTCCCATGAATATCTCTCAAGATTTCTAGTGGCCTTATTACCTGAAGGCCCAAATTTAAATAAAAACCCATTGGGTTTTTTTCTTTTCCTTTTTTTTTTCTATTTTTGAAGGACCAACCAAAGTTAAAAAAAAAATGAAATATAGAGAAAAAAGCTAGATACAGGAAGAATTTGTACCAATATTTGATTAATATTTTTTTCCTTTCTTTGAGTATGGAGTGGAGTTATTGAACTTTTGGTCTTTAAAGAGGTTATTAGGACTTTAACGAATAGAGTTATATTCAGATTGATAAAATAACGAGATAAATTACCAAATTGTAGACATGTTTAATTTTCTAAAATAAAATTTAATTGAAAATATCAATCTCTTAAAATATATTTTTGAAAAAGTAAATCATTCAGACCCCTAACTTTAAAAGGGATCTTAATTTTGTTTATAGTTGGGTCATGGGCTTTAACTATTAGAAATTGGTTTCAGCCACACCTTTTAAATGGGTTCATATGGAACCGAAATTAACAACGTCATTCGGTTTTGAAAAATGGCCAGATGATTCTTGATCATGAAAAATGTCAATTTTTATTTTTTAAACTTAAAAATTTACATGCTTAATATATTTTTTTCTGTTTTAAACCTATTTAATAATTATTTTTGAATTTCTATTTTTTTTAAAAGTGAGAGAATTTGGAAAATAAGCTGGAAAGAGAAAAATATACTTAAATTGGAGATTTTTAATCTCGGCACCCCATCCCCTGATTTGGAGAATTAGAGTTGGGAATGAGGGGGATTCTCGCGGGGGAAATTACTCTTTTAGTAATTAAATTTTATTAAAAACTTTAAAACATATTAATAAATATATTAAAGTATATCTAAATCACATGCTAATTTATTGAAATATTTAATATTTTATTGATAATTTAATAAAAGAGTTTGTATAGAATTTGTATTAATTATTTAATAAAAAGTAATCAGGGACGAGGTTGGGAGAGGGGTTGGAAATGCATTCCCAATCCTCAATCGCGTAGGTGTGGCTGATGTAGATGCATGAAAATAAAAGTTTAGACATAGAGAGACAAACTTTTTAGAAATAGCAACTTTATTAAATTGGGAAAAGTTTAAAGAGAGACAAATTAGTGAGTGAAAGATATAATATTAGTCCGAGAAAAGTGAGAGAAGTGTTGCTGAGATAAAAGTTAAAAGAAAAACTATAATTTCTTTTAAAATAAATAAAATAAAAAATTTAGTAAGAGAAAAGTTAGAAACAAAAATAAAAGAGACAAAAAGCATAACCATCGTTTATATAACCATCGTTTATATATAGATGTAGAAAGATCTTTTTGGAAAGTAAGCAGCCATTCGCTCGATGAAAAAATGGGTCAGATCCTACAGAATAAAACCTATGGGACTTGTTAGGTGCTCTGTTATATTTTCCCATTGAGGTCGAACTTAAACACGTGCCGACTATCTTGTAGTCAGTGGATGGGAGGTCTTCCATTTCAAAAGAGATCTCCATTTCACTCTTTCGAAAGTAGCTGCTGCAGCTTCAGCCACTCAAATTTTCGATATTCCTTTTTATTTCTCATCAACGATCAATTAAGAATGAACAATTAGAATTGACTAAAGAAGCTAAATGGGAACAGTCCAAGACGGATTAAGTTTATCGTTTGATGAACTGCATTGCTGATATATTGACACTAAAAAAGAAACGGGAGGTACAGCTAGTCCGTGAACTAATCGATTACGATAAATAATCAGATTTTACAATTTTTTCTTCTACAGTACCTCGACGTGACATGAGCGTGGTATTTAATAAAGCTTCATTTTATCCCTAAAAAAATGTGGTTAATTTTTCTAGTTTACTCTGCATATATTCCACTTTTAAGAATTAAGCAATTTCCATAAAGTATTATTTTAATTTCATTAAATTATAGACTTACATTGAATTATATATATATATCTATATTAGATAAATTTTAGAAATCTCTCTTTTATTAATTTCACTGCATGAGGGCAGTTTGACTTTTGTGTTAAGTGTCAATTGAGATTATCCGCTGTTTTAAATTTTTAATAGCATCTTATGGACATCCAAGCTATTGTTTTCATTACCATTATCTTATATCTACCTATAAATTTTAAATAAATTACCAAAGATTTTTTCTAATTTGATCCCTAATATTATAGGAAGGATGATAGTGAAGATAGTTCTAAACAGAAACAAGGTTTTGAATGAATGATCACAGATATTTGTTAAGGGTTTGAATAAGTGTTTTATTTGTAACAGATAAACATAACAAACAAATTGCAAACTTCCCTGAATAAATTCTTTTTTGTTACTATATATTATATAAAATGGACGGTATCATGAGTTTTTAGGAATGGGTGAATATACGAGTGTTGTATAGCCCTTGAGTACTTTTCAAAAAGTTCGAACAATAGTAAATATGAAAAAGTGAAGAAAAGAAGATGCAAGAATTTTTTTTTTTTTTTAATGTTGAAAAGGCGATTTCTTAAATTTACTTGTTTATGGACTTTTCATAAATTATTTTGATACATTAAATTATGGAATTTACCTCTAGCATAGAAAATTCAATTATAGACATATGTATGTATTTATGAACATGCAGGGAGTATAGAGACTTTGAAGCAAATGAGATCACTTTGAGATTTACTTATAAATATTTATTATTTTTCATAAATTATTATTTTTCGTTCCATAAATCAATCATAATTAGAAAGAAAAAAAAAGACTAGAAGAAGAAATCAAGAAGAAGCGAAGACTGAAAAAAAAAATTAATGATATTTGTATAAAATCATATTTACTTTTTGCATTTCGAAGAAAAGAATAATTATTAAAGAAAAAAATGAGATTTTGAAAATTAAAAAAATGTTAAAAAACTACCTTTTATTTCTTAAATTTTCTTAGAATTTTAAAATCTTTTTTAGAAAATAAAAATTGAACTAATTACCGAATCAGTTTTTTAAAAATAAAAAACAAAAGACAAAAAAAAAAAACATAAAACGAGAGGGTTATTTGACCTCAAATTTTGTTTTTGTTTTTCTAGTTTTTCAAAAATTATAAATACATTTAAAATGCACAATACATATGTAAAAGATTAAAAAAACAATAAAATCTTATTGTTTTATTTATTAATAAAAATACATAGATAAAAAGCAATAATTTGTCATTTCATGCAAATTGGTCTTTTTAAAAAAATAAATGTAACATACAAATTTTGCATACTTACTTTAAAATTTTAATTTTCATATAAAATTCAAAATTTTTAATCTAAAATTTTAGAGAACAAAAAGTATTACCAAATATACTTTTTTTATCTTTACAATAAAAAACGAAAAAATAAAAAATAATTACCAAACACAATTATATTTTCCTTCATTGTAAAAAGCAGAAATAAAAGTTTCTTTCTTATTTTACATTTCTAGTTTCTCAAATTTTATTAAGAAACCTCATTCCGTATTTCTAAATTTTCTTTTTATTTCTGGAAGAAAATAAAACTATTTTTGAAATTAACCAAACATCCACTCTTCTGTTTCACTAAACAAATGAAAACCTCATCCATAAATTCCATCCTCTCTGTTTCCCGTAGGGTTTAACTCCGATTCCACTCGCCGCCGCCATGGGCGGAGCCACCCGGTTCTTCGTCCTCCTCTCCGGCCCTCTTCCTCTCATCCACCACCGACGCCCTTCCATTCTCCGCCTCGCCTCTCACTACCACAACTTCTTCCGATCTTCCTTCTCCTTCTCTTCTCTTCACACCACCAACGTCTGCATTCCTCCAATCTTATCCCCCTCCTTTCCCCCAATTACAGCCTCTCGCCGCCTCCATTCACAGGTCTCCACTGTAGGGGACGATTCCGGGAGTTTGGAGGGCTCGGGGTGGTCCGGCTATGGTGCGTTCTCTCCGAATTCTCATAATTCGCGAGAATGGTCCAAGTTCCTCCAGAGTCTCGACGCTGGTGGCTACTTCGGTCGCCAGGGTTCCGCAAGTGAGCTTCTCGCTGTTGAGGAGCTGCCGGCTGAGTTTGTGAGTGCGGCAATTGCTTGCTTGGCGTTCTCTCGCGAGCGGGAACAACTACTAGGGTTCGTTTCGTGCTCTGTTTACCATTCCTTCAATTCTGTCGGTTTTGTGAATGTAACTAATCTGTTGTTTTGTGTGTTGTTTTTGAAATTGTTGAGGGAAGATTGCTTCCTATGAGGGATATTGAGGTGTTGGTCGAAAGTGTGATCCCGTGTCTGTTCAGAGACGGGGATGCCTCGACGAGGAAGATGGAATTGTTTTTACGAGGCAGCGAAACTCAGGTGAGTGTGGATTCCGGATTAGCATCGATTATTTAGATAGCAAAGGAAATTTGAGATGCAAACAAGAAGACACTTTTTGATTTAGAGAATGCCTCTGTATTTTTGTTCAAACTAAAGGTTACATCATACATGACTAGAGGCAAGGGGACATGGCAGTGATTATTCTTTCAGTTATGGTAACAACTAAGTCTCTATGAGAGTAATAATATGGAGTGCAGTGTTTATGTTGCATTGTACAAGAAGATGGTAGAAAGAAGATAGAAATTTCAAGTTTTCAGTCTTGGCCTCAATAAAAATTTGGTTAAAGTTTCTAGATGCACTATAGCAATAAAGGCCCTACCCAAAATTAGAGAGGAATTTTCTAAAATTAGAAAGGAAGAACTAAGAAGGATGATAGATGAAGAAAGTTGATTCTGGGAACTCTTGGAAATCAGTTTAGTAGTGATTACTTGATTCGAATTTCTTGAACTAGTGTTCAATCTTGTGCAAATAATTGCCCATCGAAAGAAAGTACATGATGTGAACACTGGAAAAAAATTGACGATAATAAAGAAACTTGATAATATGCAATAAGACTAAGACATGGGTAGCACGTGGTACTAGGACCTCTGCAATCTCACTGTTTCTTGCATAAATAATAAATTGGAACTTTTTTGCGACTCTGATTCTGAATAGTTTTCTCCTCCCATATAGCAATGGATTAATTACATAAGAATTGATTTTTCAGCATTTTAGTTCATTAATTCCAGCCCTAATTGAATCTTGTGAGTGTTGGCAATTTACAATATTCTTCTTGGCTTGTGCTATGACCACTGGTAGGTTTTGGATTCTGATAAAGCACGGACAATTGATTTATTCAAATTTATCTTGAGCTATGCAAGGAACCCGACTGTTTCTTCAGAGAGTAATCTGTACAGTAGAGATCTGGTAGAATCATCTGTGAGGAATCTGTTGGGTGAAATATGCAAGCTTTGTTTTAGCAATCCAGATCCGAAGCTTATGGAGACAGTCAATCAGTTTTCTGACAAGTATGGGCAATCTCGAGGGCCTTATGGGCCAAAAATAGAAATGAAAAGAGGTGACTGGATTTGTCCAAGGTAGAAATATTTTTTGTGATAGTGATTCTTGAATTGCTATCTTATTTTACACTGATATGGTTGTATCTTCAAATAATGCCATTCTGATTTAGCGTGTATAGTATGTCATTTCCTCTACTGATGTGATCATGGTTTTGGATATTTATGAGCACAGGTGTAGTTTCATGAACTTTGCAAGAAATGTGAAATGCCTTGAATGTGAGGAGGCCCGACCAAAGAGACAGCTCACTGGTGCGGAGTGGGAATGTCCTCAGTACGGAGTGATTCTCTACCGTCTCAAACTTGATTTATCTTTCCATTACCTTTATTCTGAGTGACTAACTGAAAACTTACATTCTGATTACTTTGGCAGATGTGATTTTTTCAATTATGGGAGGAATACAGTATGCTTAAGGTGTGATTGCAAAAGGCCAGGGGCTCCATCTCTTAGTAACATTAACATAAATTCTGGTTTGGGCAACGACAATGGGAGTCAAGCAACTAAGGTTGACATTGATAGTAAATTGGCTGCAAATGAAGAGAAGGCACAACGCTGGTTTAGTAAGATTTCTCAGCAGGACAGTACGTCTGATTCGGGCTCCTCAATAGCAGATGAGGATTTTCCTGAAATAATGCCATTGAGAAAGGGAGTTAATAGATTTGTTGTTAGCACGAGGAAGACTCCTCTGGAGAGGAGGTTGGCTAATGCTCAATACAGAAGAAACTTGGGCAACGATGGTGTTCCAGAAAATAATAGCAGTAAAGTTGATGCTGCCAATAGATCTCTTGATAAAACAATAAGCCAAAATTTGGATGACATTCTTGGTCGCACATCGACAAATTATCAGGCCTCGAATGTTGGAAATGAACAAGGTACTACATCATCTGTTTCAGGTTCTTCGCAGTATGAATCCTTGAAAGTACGTAATTCCAGTTATGTTCCATTTGTTCCATTGCCTCCAGATATGTTTGCAAAAAAACCTGATAACAACAAATCCGTTTTGTCAGACGCTAATGAGTGGACAGGTAGTGCTTCTAAGAGCAATGAATTGAATGATGTAGGAGTTATTCCAAATACAGTGGAAAAACCAATGAATCAGACTGAGAAACTCAATGAAGGAGAGGAGGAAACCGAAAAGTCTGAGAGATGGTTTAAAAGGGTTGCGGAGCTGCACAATGTATCAGATCTTACAAGTGCAATTTCTGACGAAGACTTTCCTGAGATCATGCCAATGCGCAAGGGAGACAATAGATTTGTAGTTAGTAAAAAGAAAGACCGTTCTCTAACTTCTCCAGCTTATAAGAGGCGTGCGTCGATGGAGCAAGCTGGCAGTTCCAACTTCGTCCCCTTTGTTCCCTTCCCACCGGACTACTTCGCTAAAAAAGACAAGCCCTCGTCAGATGGTTCGACTAGTAATGTGACCGGTGAAGCTCAGTCGAGTGATACTAGAATTGAATTTGATGATAGAGATAATGCTGAACAGTCTGATAACCTACAAACCCAAACGGGCAAGTTGAATTCAGAACTTCTTTCTGGGAATTCAAGTCAGAACAATGAAGCTGCAGAGTACAGAGTACCCAACATTCAAAGCTCAGGCACGAATTTTGTTAGTTCTCAATCCGCTCGGGAGAATGTATCAAGTAGTGATCATGTTGAGGAGGCTAATAACAACACAAATGTAGCAGGAAATCCATCCCCAGCATCCGAGATACAGAACATAAGGGAGAAATGGAGTGGAAAGAGTTTAGAGGGTTCAGCAGTCACTGAACCAGATCCATTGGACATGTCAGAAGAGGCCAAAGCACAGAGATGGTTCCGCCGCGTTGCTCAGATCAAGGACATCTCCGAGCTAAGTCAGATTCCCGACGAGGATTTTCCATCGATCATGCCGATGCGCAAAGGCGTCAACCGGTTCGTAGTCAGCAAGAGGAAAACACCATTGGAGAGGAGGTTGACATCGCCTCAATACAGAAGAAATCTGCCCATTGTTAGTTCAGACCCACCAAAGAGAGAAAATGATGGCAGTTAAAAGCACCCGACGGTATTTATTTTCTTTCATGAAACTTAGATTACATTATTGGTGTTGGTTTATTCTGTATCATGAAACAGAAGGAAATTTGATATGGCTCTTATAATTTATAATCACATTATTGATTAAATTGAATTAAATACGGATGAGTTTGTGATGTCATTTGGAGGAATGAAATTATTTTTAATCGATTAAAATCACTGTTTAAATTTTTTTACTAGAATGAGTTTGGACAAGCACTTTCAAAAGAAGCTCTTAAGGGATTTTTCTGGATTTTTATTAGTTTATTTTGTTTGTATTGAAGAACACAATAATGATTTACACTCTGAATTTTCGTTGGTAACTATTTAGGTTAAAAATGTACTTTCATTCAAATGATGATTTAGACTCCGAATTTTAGTTTAGTTTCTGTACTTTTAAATTGGTGATAATTCATTCTAAATTTTATTATGTAATTATTTAGTCTCTTTAGTTAAAATTTTGTAAAGATTTAGTCGCTGTCGTGAAAAATATTTAGTTTTTGTAATTTACCAACACATTTGGTTCGTTGTCAGTTTATCAATCTATGTGTATATCTATTAATTTTTAACAATACTTTTTATGATACGGACTAAATTACTATAAATTTTAAATTATAAGGACTAAATTCTTATATATTAGAGTTTAGATGTTAAAATATTTTTAATTTAAAAGTAGTATAAGGATTAAATTGTTATATGTTGAATTTTAGGAATTAAATTATTACTCGAACTAAATATGAATAAATTTCATTAAAGACCATCAGTTTTTTAATAAAGTTAGGTAGAGAAGTTAACCATTGAATAAATAGAAACCTAAAAGATGATTAGAAAAGTTTTAATTATGAATTTGACTGCAAAATTAATTGCTAAGGACGTTAGGTCATAATCAATGGTCAACAATTTTCCTGAACTATCTAGAATTATTTCTTACGACTTACGGGTTGGTCCTGATTTTGAAAATTTCGGGATTAAATTTAAATTAAGATCAAATTTTAGGACTAAAGGTGTAATTTAAGCTAATTTGAGATTCTTTAATTTGTGATATTATTTCTGTTTGTTTCGAAAATAACAACAACAATAATAATAATAGAATAAAAAGAAACTTTTTTTTTTTGGTGCATTAGGGTATGTTTTAAACATTTTTTCATTCTTGTTTATCTTTTCTTTAAAGAAAAAATATTTACTTCAATAGTCTAATTTAAAATTAAAAAAATTGTTTTTTTTTGCATGAAGATCAATAGATGAAACAAGAAAGGAAAAAATATAAAATGTCTATACAATTTTAACATTTCTTAAGAACGAAAAAAAAAATTGGAATAATAAAGACGTCAAACACTCCTTTGGGTTTGACAGCAACTAAGATATTTTTTTTTTTATTTTTTTTATATTTGTGAGTGTTCGAGTCAATTTATGCGCACTTCAACTAATCTCATGAGTGTCCTAATCCTACAATATTTAAGGTCGAGAAACACAGAAATTATTAATTCTTAAGGTAGGTGGCTGAGATATTTCTAAAAGCCACTCTTCATACGAGATAATTTCTACATTTTTCATTAGAGTCATTTCAGCGAGCAAATTTGCTACTCTATCTCCGTCTCGTTTTGAGAAATTATAATGCTATCAAATCTTCAATACATCATCTAGATTGATATTCTAATTTCAAACTTGTTGAAACAAGAATCTAGTTTCAAACTTTATTCGAAATTATAAAATAAATATCTAGTTAAAGTTATTTCCTATAAAATTTAAATAATTCTCTTTAAGTTTGATTTGTCAAAAAAAAATTATAAAATTCAAATAAATACATAATAAGAGCTCGACTTTTGACTTTTATTACAAGTCTAAAAAATATATAACACCTATTTTTCAAAAAGAAAAAAATCCTTTTATTTTATTATTATTATTATTTTGTGGCTCGAAGTCTACATCAGCGTTCTTCTTCTTCACGTCTCCATTTTTGTGGCTTGCAGCTCTCTGCGCCTCCGCCATAAATATCTCACCGGCGAAGTTTCATGATGAACGACGTCGAGGACGCTTCCACATTTCTCCCGATACTTTTGCGATCCTTCACACCATGGATTCCGCAACCGTATCCGGAAAATCGCCGATCAAATCACTAACAAGCCTCCTCGATTTGGTAAATTTCATCGTCTTCTTCATCCTCGACTTTCTCGACGCCGTCCTCTGCGTAATCTTCAGGTATCTCGACAGATTTATCGAAGGGAAGGCCACCGCGTGCTACTGTGGAAGCAGCGGAGAGGAGAGGGAGAATGTGGACGGCGATGGCAACGGCGAGAACGAGCTCTCGGAGACGCTTNAGGAATGTGTTCCGGAGAATTGCATTTCTAGGGTTTTGTGGAAGGTGTGAGGATTCGGAGACAATGAATTGTGGTTCGGTGTTGAATAGATGGTCCGATTGTGGATGTGCGTCGTGCGTATCTCCGATGGAGAATCAGAATCAGAATCAGAATCAGAAGCTCTATGTTGCTGTTCGAGAGCCTTCTCGGGGTAAGTTCCCAACGACTCTTGCTGTATGTTCTTCGATTGCAATCTGTTTGAAGTTTTGGATGTGACTTTGAATTTTGGAAGCTGTGTTGTGAAAGGCGAAACAGGGTTTACATTTGTTTGTGCCTAAACTTACAAACTTGAAACTAGTGCCTAATCTTTCTATTCACTCTGTTTGGCTAAACCATACCATCTTCAAAACCTCTAAATTAATTAAAATTTAGAAAATATTTGTCACCCAGAATTATTACACAACTAAGAATAAGAAATATAGAAACATAAACTTTTAAAAAAAAATAAGTTGTCAAATATTTAATGATAGGAGCTAAGTATTTTCTTCAAAAATTCTCCATATATTAAAAACAAAATTAAAAACAAAAGTTAATAGAAAAGTTGATGCATGTTAAGTTATGGTCATAAATTTTAAAAACTATTGCATATCTCTCTTAACTTTTTTTTTTTAATCTAATAAGTCTCCCAACTTTTAAAAGTGTCTAAACCATGTATACTTTTGATTCTATGTCTAATAGGTTTTTATATTTGAACTCAAAAAAAACAAAAGAAGAAAAGTCTCTAAAACCTATTAAATATAAAATTGAAAGTTTAGGTACCTATTACACTTTTTTATAATATAGAGACCTATTAGATAATTTTTATAATTCAATCTTATTAGGCACAACTATAAAAGTTCATAGACTAGACTTATAATTTAACTAAGATGTTAGTCTAATACTCATCAATGAAATCTAATTCTTCCAAGTAGCATGTTGAAATGAGATGTCCTTGTATCCAATTATTTTAAATAAATAAATAATTCAATACTTCTCGTTTACTAATTTTACATATTTGTTTACAGAATGACCTAATCGAAAGTTTTAAATACCTTAAAGGTAAAATTAAAATTTTAATATGATTAAAAGACTAAATTGAGAATTAACTAAAAGTGATCGTTTGATATATTTAGCCTTTATTTGGTTTTTTGTTCAACTTTTATGGAAACTGGTTGACTCCAATTTAGCAAACTGAATTAAGTAGTATTCAATTGCCTAATTTTGGAAGTTCCCACAGTTCTTGACATGGGAACATCTGATTAGTAATTAACATAAGAAACATGTTTAGACTTCTGTACGATTTTCTTAATTTTTATAGGACGTTCTTTTTTTCCCCTTGTTGCCTAGGTAGAAGTGAGAAGCCCAGTGAGAATGTTATATTCCTTCATGGATTTCTTTCTTCTTCCTCATTTTGGACAGAAACAGTATTTCCTAATCTATCTGAGACAACAAAACTTAATTACAGACTATTTGCTGTTGACCTCTTTGGATTTGGAAGAAGCCCAAAGCCAAGGGATTCTTTTTACACTATGAAGGATCATTTGGAAAAGATTGAAGAGTCTGTGATTGGTCAATTTGGCTTGAAATCCTTCCATTTGGTTGCTCATTCCATGGGCTGTCTAATTGCTCTAGCCTTAGCTGCCAAGTACTCTAACTCAGTCAAGACTATTACCCTTGTTGCACCTGTAAGTTATAATCCTGTTAGTACAAATGCCTTTTCTTTTCTTTTTTTTTTTTATTTTAATCTTTGGATTGAACTATTATTATGTCAAAATACTAAACATACTAAAGATTTGAGCTAATTTTAACCTTAAAATTTTAGTTTGGTTGGATTAAGTTATGAACTTTAATAATACCTACTCAAAATTAAATTATAAAATTCCTTGCAGATCAACTAAATAAGTTGTACAGTTCAACAAATAAAAAATAATAATAATAAATAAAAAATACTTGAATTCAAGTCATAAAAAATGCCCAAATTTGAGTATGCGAACTTGGGGATGTCAACGGGGGGATGTCAACGGGACGAGGTGGAATGAAGAATGCTTCCCTATCCCGTCCCTGCAAAATTTCCCATTAGATCTATAGCTAACCACAAATATTTGAGAAAAAAAAATAGAAATTTAATGAATTGACAGGTATCAATTTCTCCTCTTATTCAGGTACAGGAGTAAACTAGATGATATTGAAAGTTTGAGGTAGATAACATTTGTTAAGGATCTCACATTGAAAAGAAAAGAGATCTAACCAGAATTTATAATAGACATGGGCTATTCCTCTCATTGTCAATTGATTTTGAGATGGAACCCACGAATATTGATAGCCTTAGTGAGCACTTTATTGTGAGTTGCATATGTGATAATCTCATGGCTTAAGTTCTGATTTTTTGTTGTCTTCACTTACCTTACATTGGTTAATATGTTGCTTTTGTAGCCTTACTTTCCTTCAAAGGATGGGGCAGCCATGAGAGTGCTTGAAAACCTTGCTGCAAAGAGAGTATGGCCACCATTGTTATTTGGCTCTTCAGTAATGTCCTGGTACGAGCATGTGGGTCGGTGTGCTTGTTTTTTCGTCTGCCGAAACCACAGGATATGGGAATGGATTCTCAGACGAACCACACCTACGAGGTCACAAATCCCATCTCTCATGTCACCAATTTTAAGTTCTTTTAGATTTTTTGAGTTAGATAAGTTCTTGAACTTTAAAAAGTGTATAGTATGTCTTGAAATTTCTAGCTTCTTGAACTTTAAAAATGTTTAATACGTCTTGCACTCCCAATTTTATATCTGATAGGTTTATGAATAGTAAAAAATGTTGAATAGGCTAGAAACCTATTAGACACTAAATTAAAAATTCAATTATGTATTAGATACTTTTTATAGTTCAAGAACGGGTTAGATCCAACTTTGAAAGTTTAGGGACTAAATCTTGATATAACTTGCTGATTAATTAGCTTGCTTGTTTAGGGATATCAATTTCAAGGTGATCGATCTCACGAAACACACTCATCATTCAGCTTGGCATAGCATGCATAATGTGATCTGTGGGGGAGCAAAACTGATGGATAGCTACCTAGATGTTTTGATCAGAGCTCGAATCGAGATTAATATCTACCACGGTGACAACGACATGGTGGCTCCGATCGAATGCAGTTACTACCTGAAGAAGAAGGCTGTGGATGCAAATTTGAACCTGGTAAAAAATGCTGATCATCAAACCATAATACTGGGTAGAGAAAGGCAGTTTACACAGAATTTGGAACATATATGGGCAAGCAGCACTGTTGACATTGAGAGATCATAAAAATGGTCTGATGATAACATGAGAAACGAGTCCATTTTGAAAAACTAGGGAAGACTTTATGAAATGTTAAAAGTGATTAATCCCCAGTTTTTTGTTTGGCTGAGTACAATAAATGTGGGATGAAAGATTGAACTTCCAACCTCTAGAAAATGAAGGAATAAAAAGCTTGAACTGTTGAATTAAATTTACGTCAAGACCAGTTTTTAGGTAGTTGTTTATGGTCATGTTGGGGAAATTTGAACTCATATTATTAGGGGAGTAAGTGATGTTTTGACTAGATAAGTTAGGCTCATGTTGGTGTTTCATTAGTTGTAATAATAAGGGTAAATATTTTAAATGTCGATATCGATGGAAATCTTGAGATTTAAATTTTAGAATATTTTTAGAAAAAAAAATTATAAAAGATATTTAAATTAATAAATAAACAGCTCACCATTTATAAATAAGTTAAAAATTCTTTGGTTAAATTATATTTAGTGTCTGTGGTATGTGATAAGTTTGAATTTGGTATGGTTTGAATTTAGTTTTAATTTAATCTCCTTTTTTAAGTTTCAATTTTTTTGTCATGGTTTAGTTAATCAACTTTACAAATTGTTCTTGCCATTACCGTATTGAATTTTCAAATATAGTAAAATATTTGAATTTTTATTTTCAGAATTTTTATTATTTCAATTTTACCTTTATGATATATGATATACATCCAATCTATATTTGATGTATATTTGTATTTGATATACATATGTTGTATATATGTATCGATATATATCTAATTTATATATGATATACATATGTATCTGATATACATCTAATCTATATCTGATGTACCTACGTACACCTGAATCTGGTCAATACTGGGGTATTCATTAAAACAGTTTAAACTTGTAATCAATACAAGTTAAACTCCCATTTAGATAAGTTTCCACTTATATTGAATATCAGTGCATCTCGTGGGCTCTTTTCAGATATTCGACGAATTAGATGCTCTAATAACTATAGTGGACATCTCATAATATTAAATGACATAAAGTGTCCAAATGATCAATTTCTAAAGATTTCTATTTGGATTGATGCTAGCATTTTGAGAATATTATCTATTGATTCTAATTTTGAATATTGTTGCACTTTTGCATTAAAATACCATATTTCATTCTTTTGTTAAAGTAAAATCAACATTCAGATGTAAATCATACTTCACATCAATAGTATGTTAGATAATCATATCAGTAGTATATCAAACAGTCATTTCAGTAGTATATTAAACACTCATATCAATAATATATCAGACACTCATATAAATAGTATATCGCATGTATATCAGATATATGGGCTTGGGTTTGGGCATGCATGGCAATGTTGTAATTTAATATGTGGGCCTCCGTTTTTTTTTAAATGCTATATTTGAAAAACCAAAACACGGTTGCTATTTTACTTTGCTAATTTTTTTTTGCCATATCTCAAGTTCGCCCTTTAACTAAACTATAGGGATCGGATTTATACAAAGTCTAAACTACAATAACCAAATTGAAGCTAAACCCAAACTATGAGAATTAAATTAAAACTTTTTAAACCATTTGGACCAAATTGCCCAAATTGTGAGAACCAAACTTTTTTTCCTTTTCGATATTATGGAAATATGAGCATTCATGAGTTAGATTGGGTTGAGTTTTGTAATATTTTGGACTCAACTCAATCATTCTTGTTATAGATTTCTATAACCTAAACAATCCTTGTTAAATCTACAAACTCAATCTAATCAAATCCATAAAAATTGGGTCAGTTTGATTCATTCGAGTTTCAATCAAAACTCGCACCTTATAGGTTAGGTAGAGTTATGCAACTTTGAAATATGTCTTTTACTAGGTTGTTCAGAAAAGCCAACTACTTGTAAATTCTAAACAACTAACTCAATCTATACAATATGGGTTTGAATTTAAAATTAATTTTGGTAAGAAATTGTAACGCCCGACTAGAATGAACCGATACCACATCCGAATGAAAAGAGATCCTGAAACCATAGAAGCATGATTAAGAAAGCTTAAAAGAAATGACAGTTACTATCTATACTAACAAGGTGCACCTTCCTTTCGGTAACTCAATCGTAAGAACTCCAGCGTGTTTAACTTGGAACAATCTTAGAAAAGATGGTTCGAATCTAGACTTAGTGGCATTATAGAAATATAAATGAAATTCTTGTGTAAGTGAATTTTAAGTTAATAATAAATTCATAAAATTTATGATTATATATTACTGTGGGTTGGGTTGGTTCAACTTAGTGGGTCCAAGAATCGAACCAACCCAACTGAATTAGGGAGATGAAGAAAAAAAGAAAAAAAAATCTCATCCCCATCTAACTCAAATTAGTTTTTAACCCAACCTAAACTAATGATTTGGATTAGGTTGCTTGTATTTTTTGGATTGTCAATTTTAGAAACGTCGTGGTATGAAAATGTCTTACGTTGATGTTGAATCTATAAATATATAGAAATATTAATAGATGAAAATGAAATAATAGAGTTTAATTTATAATATAGATTTTTTTATAAAATGATTAAATAGTACGAAAATGATTTTTTGAAAACTAAATCACATCAGCATAGCTTATTACAAATGTTGGATGCACGACCCAACCCATAAAAAAAATATTAAAGATAAAAAAGCAACTAAAATTTAAAATTTTGAAACTAAAGTAAATAAAATATAAAATTCCAACAAATAGTTGTAATTGCAACAACAGAAATTATTCAAACTAAACTCTCTTTTCTCTGCTTTCACAGAAGTTTCAGGTCCGACTTGGGGAGCACCAGAAAACCGAAGAACTGGAAGAAGAAGAAGAACGATTAGCATCCCTCATCCAAAAATGTCCCAACATGCGACTTCTCCGCCAGCTTCACGCTCGCATTCTCACACGCCCTCTTCCCCTTTCCACATTTTCCTTCGCGCTTTCCAAAGTCCTCGCCTTCTGCGCTCTCTCTCCCCTCGGCGACATCCATTACGCCCGCACCCTTTTCGCCCAAATCCCAAACCCCAGCATCTTCTCTTGGAATTCCTTGATCAAGGGCTGTTCCCAGATTCAGAACCCCTCCAAGGAACCGCTATTACTATTTAAGAAGCTCGCTGAAACAGGGTACCCTGCCCCCAACTCCTTCACTCTGGCTTTTGTTCTCAAGGCTTGTGCGGTCGTTGCAGCGCTTGGGGAGGGCGTGCAGGTGCATTGCCGTGTTTTGAGAGGTGGGTTTGGTGGAAGTCTGTTTGTTCAGACTGCGTTGGTTAATTTTTATGGGAAATGCGAGGAGATTGGTGTTGCCCGGAAGGTGTTCGACGAAATGCCTGAGAGGAACTTGGTGGCCTGGACTGCGATGATTAGTGGGCACACGAGAGTTGGGGCGGTCAATGAAGCTATGGGGTTGTTTAGGGAGATGCAGAAGGCAGGGGTTGGGCCGGATGCGGTGACTCTGGTGAGCGTGGTTTCGGCTTGTGCTGTGGCGGGGGCCTTGGACATTGGCTGCTGGTTGCATGCTTATATTGAGAAGTATTTTGTTTCAACTGATCTTGAGCTCGAAACTGCACTCCTAGATATGTATGCTAAATGTGGGTGCATTGAGAGGGCCAAGCAAGTTTTTGACAGTATGCCTGTGAAAGATACAAGAGCGTGGAGCTCGATGATTATGGGGTTCGCATGTCATGGACTCTCAGAGGATGCCATCGATGCGTTTCAACAAATGTTGGAAGCTAAGGTAATATAGCAAATGTTCAAGTTTCTTGCATGATTAATTACAAATTTAGTGCTTTCTAACTTTGATGAAGTTGTAAAAGTTTCAGTTATGTTCTTGAACTTTTTGATTGATTTTTATTCTAATGAAATAATTTTTGTTAATTACACTAATAGACGAAGGCCTAGCTTGAGGTGATACAAGAGAGTAAACTGGCTGGCTGAATAAAATAAAGACAAACAAGCAAATAAATTCAATAGACTCGATCTGAATAATACATTTTAAATAGAATTTTTTAAGCTTGTTTACCTTTATTTTATCTTAGCCAACTCTCCATGTTGCAACATCATGCCAAATCATCATTTATTAGTTCAATTAGCATATCACGTTAATATTTAAATAACGATGAAGACTTATTAGAATTAAAATTGAAATTCGGGGATGTAATTCAAACCTTATAAATTCAGGACTAAATTTGTCATTACCATAGAAATTTTAAAGAGATTGCCCTGTTGACACATTTCTTTCTTTACAAGTACATTCTTCTCGGTGCTCGTTCTGGTTTTTATTTGATAAAAGTTCTGGGTTTTTTTGTAGTTCCACATACATTAAGATAAAAGTTCTTTTACTTTCACCGATCATTTCTGGTGATGATTTCCAGGTGATGCCGGATCATGTAACTTTCATCGGTATTTTATCAGCATGTGCTCACGGTGGATTAGTCTCAGAAGGTCGAAGATATTGGTCACTCATGCTGGAATTTGGCATTGAGCCATCAGTTGAGCATTATGGTTGTATAGTTGATTTACTCTGCCGATCTGGTCTTGTTGAAGATGCTTATAAAATCGTTACGACAACGACCATCCCACCAAATCCCGCGACTTGGCGCAGTTTGCTAACAGGTTGCAAGAAGGAAAAGCTGTTGAATCTAGGTGAGGTTGTTGCCGGGTATCTTTTCAAAATAGAACCTTTAAATCCAGAAAACTATATTCTGCTCTCAAATTTGTATTCTTCTGTTTCACAATGGGAGAAGATGAGTGAACTTAGAAAGAAGATGAAGGAGAGAGGCATTAAGCCAATACCAGGGTGTAGCTCCATCGAAGTTGATGGTGTTGTGCATGAATTCGTGATGAGTGATCGGTCCCATCCGGAGATGAAAATGTTGAGAGAGTTTATGGAAGAAATGGCCGAGCGAGTCCGTGATACCGGGTATAGGCCTAGTATTTCAGATGTACTTCACAAAGTTGTGGATGAAGAGAAAGAAGGTGCTCTAGGTGAGCATAGTGAGAGGTTTGCAATTGCATATGGGCTACTGAAAACTAGAGCACCTGTTGTAATTAGGGTAGTGAAGAATCTGAGGGTGTGTGGAGACTGCCATGAAGTGATTAAGATAGTTAGTAAGATATATGAAAGGGAAATCATTGTTCGAGATCGAGTTCGATTCCACAAGTTCATAAAGGGAACTTGTTCTTGTAAGGATTTCTGGTGAATACAGCTTTTCTCTTCTCTCTTGAACCATGTTCATTTTCCTTCTATTTTTCAATCATTCTCTTTCAGGAAATGAAAGATAATCATAATATAAGTCTCGTTTGAGTTGGGGGCCGAGGCACTATGAGCTGAGCTTCCTAGTGGCATGGCCAAGGACTTGCTTCAAGGCTCGTGTCTCGACCCTCTCGTGGGACCGAATCTACACTCATCCTTCCATTGAGTAGAGGAGGAGAGTGGGATGTCGAGCTAGACTCGAGGCGAGCTTGCTAGGAAATGCTTACATGGTCTCTTGGTTTTGAAAAATAAATGGTTTAAGGTTTTTGGAGTTTGTTTCAGTGTGATATCTAAATTCTTTTTTTTAGAAAACGGTTTTTTGTAATATGTATGTTGTGCGAGGGGATGGTGGTGGGGTTCAGTGTTTTTTTTTTTTTTTTTGGTTAATTTAAATATTCTCTTCTATTTTTGTAATATTTGGGAATGTTTAAGCTATCTAACTCACATCTTAACTAATCTTTAGAGAGGATTGCAAGAGTATAGAGTAGGCATAAGATATTGATGAGACAAATAGGTAGTTAACTACAACGAGGAGTGAATAGTCACAGTTAGCCCATGGTTTGTTATGACTTAATAGCTGCTTGGAGGACATAGTGCATCCTTTCATCAGAATTGGGGTGTGTCTAAAGCTAACATTAATGTTTGAATAGTGTAGCTATTCGACACGAGGTCGAGTCGAGCTTCATGACATCTAATCTTGTCCAGAACAATTGACATTGTGTCGAGCTTCATGACATTTGATCTTGTCTAGGACAATCGAGATTGTGTTGAGCTTCATGACATTTGATCGTGTCTAGAGGACAATTGAGTTGTTCGACAAACTAGGTGGGTGTCTTGTCTTAGGGAGAGCAGCTTCTATTTGCAATAGTCCACTTATGTCAAACTTAGTTCCCGAGCATGATCTGAAGGAGTTGAAAACTGACCTGAGTGACTCTAAATGTTGCCTTTGCCCAAGTTTTGGTTCATCAAAAGGAGTTCTATATCACTTTGGTAAAGTTTAATCCTTAATCTTATAGTTTTTCCCCATGGATCCATGAACTTAAATTCTCAGACCTATTAAACACAAAATTAGACCTATTAAACACAAAATTAGAACGTATTGGCGGAGGGTGGCGTAGTGGATTTGTGCCCAATTATCCATATCCCTAATTCCAGCCCCACCGCCAACCGCCGAGGTCATGTTGCAGCTTCAGTTACAGTGTTATGCCATCGCAATTGGATGCAATTATATCTCAATAACCGTCTCCAACAAAAAAACAGACAAGTTGTGTGTACGAAACTACTTCCAAGACAAGGCTAGAAAGAGAAACCAACCAAAAAGGACCTTTGTTTACCTTTTTAGGTTCACATGACCGAAACCATAACACTAATGCTCAATGAACTTTATGATCTTTTTTGAAATGAGTGTATAACAATTGTATATATAACAGTTTCACCAATCGCTTTGCATGTGTAATGGCATGCAAACCAACAAAAAAAAAACAAAACAAAAGAAAAAATTACTCGGTAAATAACCCCCGCTGAAATTCAAATCCAGTATCCTCTTCATTTTCATCAAAAATCCGCCGTGTGGAACACGATCTCAGTATCAAAACTCCTGGCCCTAGCCCTAGCCGCCGTCTCGATTCCACAGCCCGACACCTGGTGCGCCGTCGAGTGGCCGCCGCCGTCGTAGGCGTGCAGAATCTGGTGCAAGTAATGGTGTTGGTCGTCGTGATCGGAGGGAGGATGATAATAGAGGCGCGCCGTTTGAGGACAGTGAGCGTGAAATCTGGCCGCCATTCTCACTCCTACGTCCAACAACTCCACCAATTTCGCCATTGTTTCTCTCTCTACTGCGGATTTTGGTGCTTGATGAGAGAGAAAGAAGGAACCAGAGCGGCGGAAGGAGAGAGAGAGAGAGAAAGTGAAGAAATTTGGAGATGAAGATTGACGGGCGAGAGCGGGTCTTATATATAGTCCACCGATCTTCTGACTCGGCGTTGGCTTTCGTCCCTCTTTCTCTTTTTGCTGTTTTTGCATAAGAGGGCCTATTTTTTTGTTATTTGCTATCTGTCACCGTAAATTTATGTTAATTCTCTTTCCTGCCAACATAACTATAACTAGTCAAGATTGCAAAATGATTATAATCATGAAGATTAGAGAAAACCATTCCAATTTTCAAATAAATTTCTTGAAATGTAGTTATAGCTTGGATTTTCTGATGTGTTAAAATTTTTCAAAAGAGTGGTAAAAATTGACATTTTTTAAAAGTACAAAAGACAAAATAAATGTTGGAAAGTATAGATATTAAAATGATAAAATTAAAAAATATAAGGATCAGAATAGATGTTTTGAAAGTACGAGATGTTAAAATAAATCAAAGTTAAAGTTACGGAATCGAAATTAGATTTAAATAGAAATAAAGGTATTAAATTGTGTCCAATGAATTTTTTTAAAAAAGAAAGTACCGAAGATGAAAGTGATTGTGAGCGGAAATGGTTCAACTTTCTATGTCTATGGTATATCCTAGGTTTAAATGTTAGTTTCATTTCTAAAATATTTGTAAGTATTGTTTGTTTTCGATACTATTTTGGTTCTCATACTGTGAGATGTTGTTTATCTTGGTTTTTGTAACTATTTTAGTCCATGTGCTTTTGAAATCCTCATTTTGGTATTGTACTTTTAAAGAATGACGGTTTTGGTCCATTATTCTCTTTTCTAATCTCATTTTTTCATTCCAAATTTCATCACAATATTACACTCGATAATCTTGAAATATAGTCATAACTTTGTGTTAAAAGGTCTCTATCGTCCGCAGAATTTGTGTTAGAATTTTGCAAGTAAGGATCAAAATGGTCATTTATTAAAAGTATAGAGACTAAAACGAATATTTTGAAAGTATATAGATTAAAATGAACAAAATAAGGAAGCATGGAGACCAAAATAGACACTTTAGAAGTCCATGGATTCTTATGGAGACCAAAATAGTACAACATTGTGGGAGTGGGGGATCGAACTCACAACTTTATGGTTGGAGATATACGTCAATTACCAATGAATTATGTTCGCTTTGTAAATTTATATATTTTGTTAAATGAATCGGTTAATTTTGTAAAAATAAAAAGTTATTGAAAAAATGTTAGAGATGAGAGGCAAATTAAAAGGAAAGAAGAAGTTGAATTTGTAAAATTAGGCAAGAAATAGAATTTAGGAAAAATATTGGGGCAAATATGAAGGACAAGGAAAACAGAGGGCTGATGTGCAAGTACGTTGAAATGTCTTTGGCCTTCCACGTTAGTTCAATTTGTCTGTTTGAAGTTGGAAAGGGCAAAAAAGTCCAACTTTGATGGCTCCAAAACTTCAGTTTCTCCGCGTTGAACTTTTCATTTATGTGTTGACTGTTGACCTCTTTTTCTGATTTTTTTCTCCTTTTGTTTTTCTTTTTTCAATAAATGGGAGAGCGTTCGACTTCAATATTACTATTAACGTTAAAATACTAATTTGGTCCTGTACTTTCTTAGTTCATTTTGGTTCGCTTACATTGAAAATGTTTGTTTTGGTCTCTGTACTTTAAATTTTTGTTCATTTTAATTCTTATACTTTCAAAATATACATTTTGACCCATCTACTTTTAAAAAGTGACCATTTTAGTTATTTATTTTATTCTTAATCTCATTTTTTATATCACAATTTCAACACGGCACTAAAATCAATATATTTATTCAAATGTAAACATTACTTTATACTAAAAAATTGTCGTTATGCGTAAAATATGTGTGAAATTTTTATAAAGATGGACGAAAATGATCACTTTTTAAAAGTATAGGAACTAAAATGAACATTTTCAAAATACAGGGACTAAATTGAATCAAAATTTAAAGTACAGTGACCAAAATGAACACTTTCAAAATACGAAGACCAAAATGAATCAAGGTTATAAAATGCTAATATTAACCTAATATTAAACTAATCAAAACTTGTGGCATTTATAAAAATGCTATAAAATTTGTAGCTTTGATTCTTATTTGACTCATCTACTCTCACTTTTTAGTCTCTTTTCTTTTTTTACTTTCAAAATATCTATTCTACTCCTGGTAATTTTAAAAAATAATAATAAAATATATTTTTGATCTTTAAGCGTAATGTCTATTTTGTGTTTGAAATTTCGAGAGACACTTTTAATCCCTAAAGTCTAAAAAATGGTTTTAATGTTGGAAGTGCAAGGAGTACGAACAAAATTACATATGGACTAGGAAACGAGGTGATTCGTGATATATAGATAGGAACAATTATCTCTAGTGAGACTATTTGGGAACAAAAGTAAACACATTAAGGTTATGTCCTAATTAGTGAACAATATCACATGTCATTATGGAGATATTTAGGACTACCGTCGTTCTTAACATCTAAATAGTCGTTGAACTCATTAGACTTTTAGTTGACTAAGGGAAAAAAAAAATGACGAGTTAGTATCTGATTGTGCTGGCTAACCTAGCAAATTGTATTTAACATCTGAGTTGGCAATCTTCTTCCTCTTTCTTTATTTTATCTTCTTCTTCATTCTTCTCCTTCTTTGTCGACCTTAGATCTAGAAGTTGAGTGGCAATGAAGGTGATTGCCAGGAGCGGCAAAGGGAATTGCAACAGAGACGACATGCGTTGACGAGGGAGGAGGGGGAGAGCAACATCGGCGAAGTCGTTCGGGGTTGAGGAGAAGAGAGAAGAAAGGAAGAGGATGAAGTCTGTCAACTCACATGTCCAATCCCAAAACAAAACAATATAAAATGAATATAATTTTTCAAGTTAACAAGCTCAATCAATCCATAATTACCACATCATTAGTCAACTAATATCTTGACGAATTATAACTACTTTCCAAATATATCAAGGATATCTCATTTAAAACTTTAAGAACCAAACAGACGCTCAAAAGCTCAAGTCTAAAAGTGTACTATTTTACTCTCTACAAAATGATCATTTTTTGTCTTTATTTGTAAAATCTTGGCAAAATTTTTAGATACCATGAAAATTCTTTAATAAAAAAAACTAAGGTGATATTTTCAAGAAATTTATTTAATATAGTGTTGAGGGCTTAAGTTTTGATAAAAAATAATGAGATGAGAAAAGAGAATATATGATCTCTCTTTAAAATTTCAGTAATCAGTTTTGAAACTACGTGGACCATGATAAACCAAAGTTTAATGTATATGGATCAAAATATAAATTTTGAAAATACAAAAATTAAAATAGATAAAAAAAGACCGGAGACCAAATTAAGATTTAAATCAAATTTGTATGTAAATGCACTTGTCATATGTAATTTGACGTATGTTTTTTTAGTACAACATATAGGAGTGAAATTATAACTCACAATTTTTTAGTCGAAGATAGGTGTCTTAACCAGTTGAACCTAACTATGCTGCAAGTTAGCAATGTGACATGTGTTTTAATACTTCACTTAATGATTTTATGTTTTATTTTATAAAGTTATTTTTTGAAATTCTAGCAAGGTTAACATGACATTTTGAGAAAGAGTAAAGTTAACTACTTCGTATTTCAGTGAACTTTGACATATGTTTGAGTTATGATCTCATCATTTAAAAAAAAAAGAATTTTATTTTGACCCTTAACTTCTAAAATTGTTTCAAAACAATCCTTATCTTAGCATATTTATAAAAAAAAAATGATGTGGTAGTCAATGGTAAAAAACTCAAATAATCTTTATGTTCACATTCACTATGAGTTTTTTGGGAGAGAATTTTGGGATTATGATGAAAACAAAATTGTTTTTTTCCCCTTCTCATATAGTCAAAAGATTTAAGGGAAAACAAAATTTTTAAGGGAGGAGGCAAAATTTTAGGGCTCCCTCCTTTGATTAAGTTGACAAAAATTAGGGTTAGTGTACGAACGAAGAAGATGAAGAGACAAATAAAAGAAATTCAAGACAAGTGAATGCATAGACCAACTATTGCTTGATAATTTGATAATGAAAAATGTCTTCTTTTTCTGTTTTAAATACTTGTACTTTCAACCTTAGTTCATTATAGTATCTACTTTCAACTTTGTTAATTTAGTCCGTCTTTGTACTTTGGTCTATGAACTTGTAAAACACGACAATTTTGGTCCCTTCATATTCATTTTTATCCCATTTATTCTAATCTTATTTTTAGCACGACATTTCACTCCTTATATTTTTTGAAATATAGTCATAAATTTGAATTAATTGGTTTCTATCGTGCATATAAAGTTTTGCAAAATAGAGACTAAATTGACTACTTTTTAAAGACATGGGGACCAAAACGGATATTTTGAAAGTATAATGAATAAAATGAACAAAAAGTTTAAACCACAAACATGCAAATGAACGTTTGGAAAGGTAAAAAAATCAAAATGAATCAAAGTAAAAAAAAATAGAATGACCAAAATAGTATTAAAACCTTAATATTTCCATGGGTAAATTGAAAAACATTCTAACCATAGTAAAATTATACTGTGATAATATTAAAGTTCAATTCTCATTCTAGCTATCGAAGGTTTGTTGATTTTGTTTAATTTTTGGACTCTCGAAATGTCTATATTTTGTTTTGAACTTGTAAAGGAACAATTTTCATCATTTTTATTATGAAATTAATAATTTAATAGATGAATTACGTGACTTCGAAAATATATATTAATTCGTGCTATCATAAACATGTATTAAGCTACATATATGCTACCCAAAATGAATATTGAATTTCAAATATGACCTAATGTTAATAAACAATTAATGATCTATGTTACGTTATGTTATTAGTTCCATATTGGCACGAAGTGGAAAGAAATGGAGAAAATGTGAAACAATTGTAACAAATAGTGGCTTACAACGTTCTAAAACTTAACTGTGTAATGAATAAGAAAAAATTGAAGGTTGGATTAAGATTCCAACATCTGTCCACATAATACCTATCTCAACTTAATCAACCTGTGTG